CCATCAGCTCCAAGTCAAGTAGTTGTTTCAATCTAGTTATGGAGGGCGCAGCTCAGTGGCCCATGTAGGGATCGAACTGCAACCCTGGTGTTATGAGCACTGCGCTCTAACCAACTGAGCTAACTGGCTACCCCTCAACATCCTTTTTAATACAGATTTATCTTCCCACCTTTGTTAGGATAGGCTAAACTGCTGTAGCAAATAGACTTTAAAATTTGGCTCAAACAGAATAGGAATTTCTTGCTTATGTACTGATCTGGGAGAACCATTTAGTTCAATGGACAGTTCTTTTCCACCTGGCAAATCTGAGACCAAGATTTCTTCCAGATGGTGACTCCACAATCCCCTCAGGCCTCCTCGTCACCTGAATTTAGTCAGCAGTTGAATAAGTGCAAAGAGGAGCTTATTTGGGAGTTTTTTATGGGCCAGCCTGGGGTGGTTCACATCACTTTCACTCTCGTTCACTTAACGGAGGAGACCTTTGTCAATTCACTCAATCAAATTCAAGGAAGAATGGGACCTATAGTATAGTCGTGTGTTCAAAAACAGAGAGAACAGATTTCAGTGACTAGCAAGCAGCCTCTGCCACAATCGCTGAGGAGTGTCTATCTTTTACACTGCAATTCTCTTTCTTCATAAACTCCCACAAGTGCATTGTGGTGGTTTCAACTATCCCTTTGACACCTGTAGTCTCCATATTTTTATATTTGTCTTATACATTCATATGGACTCTATTCCCACATATCCCTCATATTTAAGACACCTCTATATAGATACACTGTTGTCACTTCCAACCCAGTATGTCCAAAAACAGAAGCCATCTTCTCTCCCAAACAAGTTTCTCATCCTGACTCCTCCTGTTCTTTCAGTCTCTTAAGACTAGAAATCATGATATCAGCAAGAAAGTATCATGCTTTCAACACTCAGTTTCCGCCTCATTCCCCATGGTTTCTTCTTCAATGTTAGATCCACCTGTTAGATCCACCCCTACTCTTCATCTCTGTTGATGAAGTGCTAAGCCAAGTTCCCATCATCTCATGCCTAGTCCTATGATTTTCTAGTTGCATTTGTTAATGTCTTATTTTCTTTTTCTGAATCATTTTGAATGTTACTGCCAGATTTGGCCACTTGAAATATACATTTATCTTGTTCTTACCCTAAAAAGAAAGTTAAGTGACTCCCTATTCCCTGTAGTGAGTAATCTAAGCATCTCTACTTGCTTTTTAAATCCACTCCAAAATGTATCCAGCTACTACTGAACACTTTGTGCTATTACTAAAGTGAAGTTAGAAATCCTGGGGAATGAGATTTCACTGTAAACAGGAAATAGTCACATTTTGGGATGGCAGGGTCCAGAAGGGAAGGATAGAAATAGAGAGTAAAAACCAGGGAAACACTCTATTCCAAAAATATGTGCCATGTGTACTATGGATAGAATATATATTCTCTATCCTTTAAGATTTTATACCATAGTTAATATTTTGGCACAGATTGAGACCATTTTTCTCCTCTTATGTAAACAAAAATTACAAAGATTGATAAAAATCCCGAGTTTGCAGGGAAAGGCAGCCACATTCACTAAGTGCACACATACTCACGACCCAATAATTCCTCTTTAGTTAATCCTGTGATACACTGACAGGAGTGTACACAAATGTATGTGTAATGAGAAGGTAAAAAATTGGCTACTAAAATACCAAATATTTTTCAGTAGGGAAAAGTATGATATGTCCATAAAGTAGAATGCAATGCAGTTGTTAAAAAGAATGAGATAAATCTAAATGTACAGACATGGTGGAAGGGGACCTAAAAAGTATAGTTGACTTAAAAAATAAAATAGATGCAGAAATACACACACACACACACACACACACACAGACACACACACACACACACACACACCATGATCCCTTTTTTCTGCAAATGTATACTTAAGGCCACATATACATAAATGCAAACATTCATATGCATATATTGTTGGGAAGTCGCTGGACAGATGCATTCCAAAATCCTAAGAGACGGGAGGGACTGGAGATGAGATTGAGAAAGGCTACCCCTTTTTAGTGAATGCATTCCTATATTATTTAATGTTTTATTTTAAAGTGTAAAAAAGTATGAGATAAACACTTAAAAAAATTTTTTTTTAAGATTTTTATTGGGGAATTGGGGGGATGAGAACAGCGCTGGGGAATCGGGGAAGGGGAACAGAAAACAAGTTGCTGTTGTTTTAAAATTTTTTTTAATAAAGAAATTTTGTCACAGAAATATGGACTTGAGATGCTATGGTGTTAGAAGCCTGTCTCCCTTAACCTCATCTCTTGATATTTGCCCTTACAGCAATGCTCTCTTCTTACTCCATTTCCTCTTGCAGTTCACATGGATGGACTCTCCCAATTTCTTAAAGTCACCTCACATACTTAAACTGCTTCCTTTGACCACTTCCTCACTTCCTTTCACATTAGCTTTGTAGGTGGCAGGATCACACTCGAAGACTGTCTAAGCTTCCTGTACCTCATATATGTTATTGTTTTTCCCTCCCATTCTCAGTATGGCCATTTATTTTTTTTAAATGCAGTGAATGTGGATCATTTACATTTCTGGATTTCTTTCAGACTTGGAGAGTAAAACAGAATGCAAAGAGTCAACCTTAACAAATGGTATTTTGGGGAAAGAATTACCCCATGGCCTGATAATGGGAAGGCCCACAAGAAGGGGGACCTTGTATTCCACATGTGGAAGAGTCTCCAGATGTGATACATTTGAAAGCCAAGGAATGGGTGAGGGGCAGATCCCCTTGATCCACAAGAAAATGCTCACTCTGGGGAGAGGCCGAGAATCTAACAGATTTGAGAAAAGTATCAACGTGAGCTCAAAAGTTATTCCAGGCCCAGTAGGTCCTCCAAGAAAAAGAGACCATAAATATGACAAACCTAGAAGGAGAAATAGATACAATTTAGATTTGATTAATCATCCAAGGAGTTGTACAAGAATGAAAACCTTTGAATGTAATATTTGTGAAAAAATCTTCAAGCAGCTCATTCACCTTACTGAACACATGAGAATTCATACTGGAGAGAAACCTTTCAGATGTAAAGAATGCGGAAAGGCCTTTAGCCAAAGTTCATCCCTTATTCCACATCAGAGAATCCATACTGGTGAGAAACCCTATGAATGTAAGGAATGTGGGAAAACCTTCAGACATCCATCATCTCTTACTCAACACGTGAGAATTCATACTGGGGAGAAGCCCTATGAATGTGGTGTGTGCGAAAAAGCCTTCAGCCAGAGCATTGGGCTGATCCAGCACCTGAGAACTCATGTTAGAGAGAAACCTTTTACATGCAAAGACTGCGGAAGAGCGTTTTTCCAGATTAGACACCTCCGGCAACATGAGATTATTCATACTGGTGTGAAACCCTATATTTGTAATGTATGCAGTAAAACCTTCAGCCACAGCACATACCTAACTCAACACCAGAGAACTCATACTGGGGAAAGACCATATAAATGTAAGGAATGTGGGAAAGCCTTTAGCCAGAGAATACATCTTTCTATTCACCAGCGAGTACACACTGGAGTGAAACCTTATGAATGCAATCATTGTGGGAAAGCCTTTAGGCATGATTCATCCTTTGCTAAACATCAGAGAATTCATACTGGAGAAAAACCGTATGATTGTAACGAGTGTGGAAAAGCCTTCAGCTGTAGTTCATCACTTATTAGACATTGCAAAACACATTTAAGAAATACCTTCAGCAATGATACGTGAAATACGTTCAGCATCAAAAAATTCTCATATTGAAGTGAAAGAAAGCCTCTAGTAGTTTTCTGACTTTTGGATTTATTGGTTTAACCCAATGTTACAACTATTATTAGTTTTGCCATATTAAAAAACACCTATTATAAGCATTGTTTCAGAAAAGCAAGGACATTTAAAATACAAGAAGGATATAATCATAAAGAATAGCCTAATACATTGAATTAAGTGAGCTTTATGAAAATCCCCCAAATTTGTCTTTATTTTTCTCATTTTACTATGGTCCAGTGAAAACTTCATCATGGCAGGGCAGTGATCTGTGGACTGGCTTTTGAGAATCACTTTTAAATATGCCTTTAATGACTCAGAACAACTTTTATTTTAGCCCCTTATATGGCTAGAAGATGTATAAATAAAAATTTTGGTTGGCTCATTTCTAGAAGAAATAATGTTAAAGGGAGCTTTCTAGAATTGACAGATAACCTATTATCCATGAGGTATTTACATATATTTTATGGTTTCTTATAGAGAAGAATTGTCAAACTTTTCTGAGAAGGGCCACATAGTAAATATGTTAGGTGTTGTGGGACCTTAGGCCTCTGTCAGAAATACTCAACTCTACCATATAAAGACCGGTGTATCTCAACCTTGGCATTACTGATATTTTGGGCTGGATACTTTGTTATGAGAACCTGTCGTATGCACTGTGGTATGTTTAGCAGTATGTCTGGTCACAAGATGCCAGTACTAGAAGCCAACTATTTCCCCACCCGTAGTGACAACAAAAATGTCTCTAGACATTACTAGATGTTCCCTGGGGATCAAGATTGTACCTGCTTGAGAACTGACATAAGTGTTCCAATAAATTTTATTTAAGAAACAGGTTTTGTGTTGCCTTTAGTCCAAGGGCTATAGTTTGCCATCCCTGCTATAACATAATGGCTAATGGAAAAAAAACTCATTTGATGTCAAATTAGTATGTTTGTGTATATCTGTGCCATAAGTCTTATTTCCTTATCAATGCATTTGGTATTTTGTTGCAAGAATTTTTAAAAACCACATTTGTAATGCTGCTGTAGAAGCCTATGAATTATTTATGGAGATATTTATGAAGACTTCAGTGTATAATGATACTTTTTTGTTCACTCATAAGTACTTTGGGATGTATTTCTAAAAGATAAGCACTCTTTAAACATAACCACAATGCCATTATTGCACCTAAAAGGGTTGGGCCATAATTCCTTAATATATATTGATGACCTTTTGAAGATGGGTATATTGAGACTGATGGTTGTTATTTTAATTTTGTTAACTTTCCTTTTGATAAGCATACAGTATTAGATTTGAAAATGTGCTTTCTGTTGATTGAGAGGAACTTTGAGATAGCCCTCAGAACAACGTATCTAGGAGCCCACTAAAGAGAACGAGGGAGGCGACTGCAGGGGCTATATCGAGGCAGGGGAGTATGATAGAAGAAGTGGAGGAATTGACTCATAGTACTTCACTACGCTTAATAGATACTGCATCCTTCCAAACAGAATTGGAGGTAGGTCAGGTTCAACTTCTTCTTACATGGCAGAACAATTCAATTGCCTGAGATTTGTAAGTGTGAACTAGCCAAAGCAAAGCTATAAATCCAGAATATATAACATCGCTTGATTTTTCCTATTACTATATTTACTTTTTTAATTTAACTGGTCTCTAGTTCTTAAGGCCTTATATGACTGATGGGCCAAGGGACAGAGGGGATACACACCGTTCCTTACAAATGTTCTGCCATGTTTCTGTGCTCTTACATTCCGTAAGAATTTGGGTTTCCTTGATGGCTTCCTTCAGTGAAAGGCATGACTGTCACTTTTCTCTATATGCCTCGGTGACCTCATCGTCCTACAGCATGAAATACCATCTCTATTGAACTGCCAAACCCATGTGTCCAGCCCAGACCTCCCTCATGAACTGCGGCCTTGTTCCTGACGTCGGGCCTTTGCACTAGCTGCTCCTTTGGCTCTCCTACACCCTTGCCTTCTCATCTTTGCTCACACGTTGCCTTTTACTGAAGCCTCTCCTGACCATGGTACTTACTATTGCAACCTGTTCCATACTCCCCAACTCCAACATTCCTCAAAACCCTTAGCTTGCTCTACTTTTTATTTTTCCATCACGTGTTACCTAAAATACTAGATATTTTTACATATTTATGGTGCTTATTGTTTACTGTTGTCTTCCCCTACTAGTATGTAAACTCCATGAGGGCAAGGATCTGGTTTTTTTTCACTGATGTATCACAAGTGCCAAGAACAGTGCCTGGCACACAGTAGGGACTTACATATTTGTTGAATTGTTTTGAACTGAACTGAATTATGTATCCCCATGACAACAGAGAAAAGTGATCCCTGTACTTTCCTACCTAGATTTTATAGGTAAGATCTTTTTGTTTCCTTTTTTTTCTTTTTGCTTTGCAAATGAATCAAATTTATAGACTTCTAAGAACTATGAGCTATAACTGTAATATGGAAGGGTATTTTTAAGTTAGTCAGAAATATAGCTAATTAACGACATGCGTTATCCTTGTTTTGTAAGCGTGAGTTAATAAAACACTACGGACGGATAAAAGACAGTACAGCAGCAGGGGCGAATACAGTAGCAGACAGGAGAGGTCAACATATTTTTGGTAAGAAGGGCGGTTACTGATTTAGCAAGGCCTACAGAAAAGTATGCAGGCAAGAGGAGGTCCCTGGGGAAGGCTGAGGCCTTGGAGACACTGCACATCATGGAAGATGAAGGGCTGAAGATAGGGCTTGGTTGGAATTCTGTACTTAGATCCCAAGGCCCTTCACCTGCCCTATACAGCAGGCTGCTACACACATATTCCTCTCTCGTGCCTTCCTCCATTCCATTAACACCTTCCCTCACCTCAAAAGAGACTAGAACTTTGTTCTCTGGTGAAGGACCAGAGTTGCTGTGTAATCAGGGACACCAGACACAGTAGAAACTAGGGGTAAGACGCAAGGCTAAACTGGAGACTAAGGCTACATTCTGAACTGTGGGCCCTTCATCTGCCTTTGTCAGTGAGAGCCAGGCTCCACCCCTTCAACAGTCTCCACCCCCCCACACCCCACACCCACACACAAGCAGGAGGTTGGAGGAGCCTTCCCTGGAGAAACGATGTACCAAACGCACCAGCATTTGCAGATACTTGAATAAAAAAATCAAGGCGTATAACTCAAATGCCCTACACATGTAGACTGCGCTTCCAATTTCTCTCCAGGAAGAGGATAGAAATGAAGGGTATAGAAATAGATGTATAGACACAAGACAACTTTTCAGAATTGAAGGATAGGAATTCAGATGAAAAGGATCTATGTGCTCAGAACAGTAAATACCAACAGCTAATATCTATCATGTACTTACAATGTACCAGTCACTGTTGTACTTTTTTACATATTGATTCATTTAATCCTCACAAAAATCCCATGAAGTGTGTTCTATTCCCATTTTACAGAGCAGGAAATAGAGTCATGGAGAGGTTAAACAAGTATGGGCACCCAGACAATAAATGGAAGAGCCGAGATTTGAACCCAGGCAATCTACTTCCAAAAATAAGCCATACCAAGGAACACCATTATTAAATATTACAATTCCAGAGGCAAACAGAATGTGCTAAAGGCTTCTGTAGCGAGATGATAGGTCATTTCACCTGTATGGGAATCAGAAAAGCCTCAGGCTCCTCACAGCAATAATCAACATCTTCAAAATTTTGAGAAAAAAATGACCTTCAGCCTAAAATTATTTGCCCCAACCACTACCAAACAAGGGTGAGGGCAAAATAAAGACATTTTTAGAAATACCAGTGTCTTCCTTTCTCTCCCCACCCAGCTTTTAGTCATGCCCTTGCAAACACCCTCAAGTCCATATGTATATGTTTTTCACACCCTATCTTAGTCCATTCTAGTTGCTATAATAAAACTATCATAGGATGGGTGGCTTATAAACAGTAGAAATATACTGCTCACAGTTTTGGAGACTGGAAACCCAAGATCAGGATATCAGCATTGTTGGGTTCTGGTGAAGGCCTTCTTCTGGGTTCTAGACTGCCAACTCACATGGTGGAAGGGGCTAGGGAGTCCTGTGGGGTCCCTTTTTTAAAAGCACTCATCCATTCATGAGGGCTCCACCCTTATGACCTAAGCACCTCCCAAAGGCCCCACCTCCTAAATACCATCCCTTTGGGCTTTAGGATTTCAGCATATGAATTTTGAGGAGATGCAAACTTTCAGATCATAGCACACCCAAATTTATATTTTTAACTCCAAACTCTCTCTGCACATCAGACTCCATGTACACATTTGACTCTTGGATGTGTTTGAGGCATCTGAAATTTAACAAGTCCATCTCTGAGCGTGCTCTACCTCCAGTATTTCTTATCTCTGCAAACGGAACATCTAATAGCTCAGTCAGAATCATCCTTGACTCCTCCTTCTCTAACTACATTCAAGCCACCAAAAAATTCTGTGGACTGTATCTTCAAAATCCATCTTTTCTCATCACCCCCACTGCTACTGCCTAGTCCAGTCCATGATTTTCTCTCATCTGTATTATTGCACACTTGTATTCCCCACAGTTCATTCCCCAGATAGCATCCAAATGATTTTGTTACTATGTAAGGGCATCCTGCTTCTCAGTTCAAAACCCTCAAGGGCTTCCCATTTTTCTCAGAATAGATCCAATGTTCTTACCATGGTTTGCCTCGAGCCATACTGCATTTCTTGCTGGTCCATGCATATGCCCACAAACGCTCCCACCTCTGGACCGTTGGCCTGCTGCTAAGATGCTCTTTCTCCAGATATCAATGTGGCTCCCTTCCTGACTTCTGTCAGGTCTCCATTCAAATAGCATCTCATCAGAGGGACATTCCTTGATTACCCTCTAAAAGACAGCTCCCCATTTCTTATAGCTCTTCTCTTTTGGATTGATTATATTTTATTATTTTTTTCACCCTCTTTACTTCGGTTCTTTTAGTGGTTGCCCTGAAAGTTATAACATGCATTAAAAAAAACTTTACTAAATTATAATAATCATCCAGAAAAGTGCATACATATAAATATCTTGATGAATCTTCAAAATTATACATATCTATGTAACCTGCTCATAGATTAAGAACAGAAATTATAGGATTCCAGAAGCATCCCTCTTCCCCCTTCCAGTCATTATCCCCCAAAGGGTAACATCTAACACCATAGGTGAATTTCATCTGTTTTTGTACTTTATATAAATGGAATCACATGACATGTATTCTTTTGTGTCTGGCTTCTTCTGCTCAACACTGTGTTTGTGAGATTTATTAATATTGTGTGTAATTGTAGTATGTTTATTTTCGTTGCTGTGCATACTCCATTTTGTGACAGCAAAATAAGCAAAATATTTATTTACCCATTCCACTGTTGATAGGCATTTAAGTTTGGGGCTAATATAAAAAGTGTGTTATTAACATTCTAGTACATATCTTTTGGTGAATACATGTGTGCATTCCTGCTAGGGATGGGATTGCTGGGTCATAACCTTCAGCTTTACTAAATACTGCCAAATACTTTTCCAAAATAGTTGTACCAATTTATACTCTCACTAGAAGTGTCTGAAATGTCTGGTCTTTAATTTTTATCTGGGTTAATTGATCAGTTTTTTCTTTATGTTTATCACTTTCTACTCCATTAATAAATCTATGCCTATTTCAAATTTGTAAAAATATTCTCCTACTGTCTTCTAAAATTTTATTGTTTTACCTATCACATTTAGCTCTGCAAACCATCCGGACTAATTTTTGTGTTGTAAGTATGAATATCCAATTGACTCAGTACCGATTTATTAGAAAGACCTTCTTTTTCCCCACCCTTGTCATCAATCAGGTGACGGTTGATGTGTTTGTCTGAATCTGGACTCTTTGTTCTGTTCCATTGTTCAGTTTACCTATTCTTGCACCAATACCTACCTCATTGTCTTAATTACTATAACTTTATAATAGGTTTTCATATTCAGTAATATAAGTATTCCAGCTAACAATGTGCATTTTTTACTTATTTAATGTTATAAATTTAATGTTAATGAAAACCTCTACTCTCTTCAAAGATAGTCCTTAGAGTACTTTAACTTAGCTTAACTTAGTTAACACTTAAAGTGTTACATTTTATTTTATTTATTTATTTATTTATTTATTTAATATTTTTTTATTGAGGAACTGGGGAAAGGGACCAGCCAAGTTGTTGTTCTTTGATCTTCACTTGGGAGGGCGCCAGCCGCCATATGACTGCCTGTTGGCAGCTCATGGCCTCTAAGCTCAAGGTGCTGTGTTCAATCCTAGTTACGGGTGGGCGTAGCCACCATCCCATGCAGGAGTCGAACCAGCAGCCTTGTTGTTAGAACAGTGCATGCTCTATCCACTGAGCCATCCGGGCGGCAGCTCAGTTCAAGGTGCCGAGTTCAGTCTTAGTTGCGGGTGGGCGTAGCCCACCATCAAACTGTTGCTACACCAGCTGAGCCATCCTGCCACCTGTTGGCAGCTCAGCGACAGCTCAGCTCGTGTGCAGTGTCACTGGCTCATGTGGGAATTGAACCGGTGGCCCTGTTGCTCAGAGCCTGTGCTCTCAAGCCAGCTCTCAACCAACTGAGCCACTCGGCCAGCCCAAAGTGTTACATTTTAAATTAGAATGCTTTAACTCCATTCACCACCCACCTCCTGACCTATATGCTATTATTCTTGGGTATTTTAATTATATGTTTAAAAACTTCACAAACTATTAAGATTTTTTTAGTCTGTATCATTAATGCTCATTTAGATTTAGTGACATATTCTGCTTTCTTTGTTTTTCTTTTCTTTTTGCATCTTTATCCTTTTATCTGGAATCATTTTCTTTCTGCCAGAAGTTCAACTTTGAGAATTTCCTTTAATATAGTCAGCTGGTGGCAAACTCTGTTTTTGTTTGTCTGAAAATATCTTTATTTCATTATTCTTAAAGGATTTTTTTTTTACTCTTCATTGAATAACTCTGGCTTGTCAATTATTTTCTCACAAAATATTGAAGATTTATGCCTTAAACTTATGAATAAGGAAAATAATGATTCGGGGTGACGCCCGAATCCTCACTGCTAATGTGAAATGAATTTTTGAGCGGGTAAAGGTTGCCCCTAAGGTGACCCGCCTACTTTGCGGGATGCCTGGGAGTTGTGATCTGCTAATAAATCTTAAAAACCAACCAACCAAACAAAAAAATATTGAAGATTTCATTGCACTGTCTTCTGGCTTTCTTTGCTAAGTTTGTTGTCATAATGCCACTTGTGTTAGTTATCAAACTTTGTCACTGTATTAGTTAGCAACTGCTTTATAACAACTCTAAAACTTAATGACTTAAAAAAGTTTTAGTCTCACATTTTTCATGGGTCAATAATTCAGAAGCTGTTTATATGGGAGGTTCTGGCTCAGGATGCAATCAATATGCAAAGATGTTGGCTGAGGTTGGAGTCATCTGAAAGCTTGACTGTAGTTAGAGGATACACTTCCAAGATGGTTCACTCATATGGCTGGAAAGTTGATGCTGGTCATTCTCTGGTTTTCCTCAGAGCAAGCAATAAAGGAGTGTGCAAGGTAGAAATGGCAATGTCTTTTATGGCTTATCTTCTGAAATCACACACTATCACTTCTACCACATTCTATTCTTTAGAAATGAGACTGCCTCACATTCAAGGAGAGAGAAATTAGTCTCCACCTATTGCAGGGAGGAGTGAACACACTTTAAAACCACCACAGCCACTTTAAGATTTTCTCTTTGTCTTTGGTTTTTTGTAGTTTCATTATAATGTGTCTAGATGTGGATTTCTTTTCATTTATCCTGTTAGGGAGTTATTTGAGTTCTTGTATCTGTGATCTGGTTGCTTTCATAGGCACTGAAAAATATTCAGCCATTATCTCTTCAAAAACTGTCTCTGCCCTAGCTTCTTAAACTTAAATTTATGCTAGATCTTTCCACTGAATCATCTATGTCTCTTATCCTTTCTTCTGTATAGTCTATCCTTTTGTTTCTTACTGCTGCATTCTAGATAATCTCTTCTGACCTATCTTCCATTTAATTTATTCTCTATTCAACTATGTCTAATCTGCTGTTATATGCATTCACTGAATTCTTAATTTGTTATTGTGTTTCTCAGTCATAGAATTTCTATTTAGTTCTTTTTTATAGCTGCTCTCTCACTTTTTATAGTTTCCAGGTATCTGCCAAAACTGTCTGAGTTATCTTTTATTTCTTTGAACAAAGAAAATATAAATTATTATATAGTTTGCATCTGATAATTTCAAAACAAGTTGTTTTTGCATGTCTATTTCTGCTGTTTGTGGTTCTGCTGAAATAGTCACCAAAAGAGTCTATTTTCCTTGTGTACCTGTTTATCTTTAATTCTGTACTTAACATTTCTATGAAAACTGATGTGTAGGAACAAGTTAAGGCCTACAATTATAATGCTTTCCTCCAGAGAGGATTTGTATTTGCTTTTGCCAGGCATCTGGTGGCATCATAGAGATGACCTAAAACCAAGATCAAGACTTGAGACAGGCTTCAGTTTGACCTCAGCCTGTAAATTCTTCTTAAGCTATTCTACTTCCAATTCTTCCTCATCCAGAGGGTGCAGCTGTTTGGGGTCCCAGTTATTGTACAGAGAGGGTTGTCTTATTTTTTTTTTAAGATTTTATTGGGGAGTTGGGGGAGGGGAACAGCGTTGGGGAATCAGGAAAGGGGAACAGACAAGTTGCTGTTCTTTTGTTCTTCAGTCTAGTTGTGGAGGATGTCGTTTTACTGGCCCATGTTGGTATTATCATTGCACTCTTCCCTGGTGAGGCAGTCGCTCCCCGGCCATTGGACGGCCACTCATGGCGGCTCATGGCAGCTCACAAAAGCACACACCGGCTGCCTGGCCAGCCCCACTGCAGCCTACACCGTCGCCGGCAACTCACGGCAGCCCAGCTCCAGGTCGAGCTGTTGTTCACCATCTTAGCTGTAGAGGGCGCAGTGTCACTGGCCCTCAGTGGTATCTGAACCGGGGCCCTGCTGCTCAGAGCTGGCGTCCTAAGCCAACTCTTAACCAACATGCCACTGGCCGCCCCAGAGAGTCTTCCTTTTAACTCCTCACATATTGTATGTGTTGTTTTTCTTCTTTGAAGTGCAAAAGTAAGATTATTATTATTATTTTTTATTGGGGAATTGGGGGGATGGGAACAGTGCTGGGGAATTGGGGGAAGGGGAACAGACAAGTTGCTGTCCTTTTGTTCTTCAGTCTAGTTGTGGAGGATGTCGTTTTACTGGCCCATGTTGGTATTATCATTGCACTCTTCCCTGGTGAGGCAGATCAGTCGCCAGCTTCTGGACGGCCGCTCACTGCGGCTGCTGGCCGCTCACGCTGGCTGCTGGCTACACACGGTAGCCCCTGGCAACCCACTGCCACAGAAGCTGCAGCCTATGCCATCGCCGGTGACTCACGGCAGCCCAGCTCCAGGTTGAGCTGTTGTTCAGCATCTTAGCTGTGAAGGGCAGTGTCACTGGCCCTCATATGTGGGATCCGAACCGTGGCCCTCTGGCCTCCCAAGCCAGTTCTTAACCGTCGCGCCACTCGGCCGGCCTAAAAGTAAGATTATTTTCGTATTAGGTAAATGCCTCAGGGCAAAAGCATCTGCCAGTGTTCCAAGTTAGATAACCTCCCTGGATCTGGGCTTTCCAGCTTATGGTCTGGTGGTTCTATCTTGCCATCTCTTAGACACCTTGTTATGGGCTGAATTCTATGCTCCCCAAATTCATATGTTGAAACCCTATCCCCCAGTACCTCAGAATGTCACTGTCTTTAGTGACATATTTCAGTGATTAAACTTAATCACTTTAAAAAGATACTTGAGTTAAAATGAGACTCTAGGGCATGCTCTAAACCAGTCTGACTGGTGTCCTTATAAGAAGAGAAAATTTGGATACACAGAGGGGCATGCAAACACTCAGAGAGAAGACTGGGTGAAGACACAGGGAGAAGGCAGCCATTTGCAAGCCAAGGAAAAAGGTCTCAGTAATCAACCCTGCTGAGACCTGGATCCTGGACTTTTAGCCTCTACAACTGTGAGAAAATACATTTCCATCATTTAAGCCGCCCAGTCGTTGGTATTTTATGGCAGCCCTAGCAAACTAACACACACCTTTAAGAATATATATATATATATATATATATATATATATATATATATATATACAATTTCAGGCTTCTACTTTTTAAATATTTTTCTTGTTCTTTGAGTTGGGTTGATATAAATATCCTAGCCTAGGGCCTCCTAAGTGGCACGTTGGTTAAGAGCTGGCTTGGGACCCTGGTTCGGATCCCACATGTGAGGGACAGTGACACTGCCCTCTACAGCTAAGATGCTGAACAACAGCTCAACCTGGAGCTGGGCTTCGGTGAGTAGCCAGCGACGTTGTGGGCTGCAGCCCCTGCTGCAGTGGGTTGCCATGGGCTACCGTGTGTGGCCAGCAGCCAGTGTGAGCGGCCATCCAGAAGCCGGCGACTGATCTGCCTCTCCTGGGAAGAGCGCAATGATGGTGCCAACTTTGGCCAGTGAAGCAACGTCCTCCACAACCAGACTGAAGAACAAAAGGACAGCAACTTGCCTGTTCCCCTTCCCCCAATTCCCCAGCGCTGTTCTCCTCCCCCAATTCCCCAATAAAAATCTTAAAAAAAAAATAATTCTAGCCTACTATTCATATTACCAGAAAGAGAAACACCAGTTATCCTCTGTCCCCCACTCTACACACTGCTTCCCTTTTCCTCATAGCCCTATCACCTGGGATATTATCTATTTATTTTCCTATTTATCTATTTACACTCACTGGGATTAAGATCCAAGAAAGCAGGGACTGCATTTTATTGACTGCTGTATCCTCAGAGCCTGTAACAATGAGTAGTAGATCGTAGGCACTATAAAGACAGTTGTTGAATGAATAAATGACTAACAGAGAAGGGGCTTCCCCACAGGAAGTGCTGGCCAGACACATGGTCCCTCCGGACCACTGACAGGAAAAGCGGGGCTGTCGGCCTGGGTGGCCGCTGTCTTTGGGTCTGGGCCGCCCTCGGGGGCGCGCTCCGCTGCATCCAGGTTCCGGGTTTTTCCGGCGCTCCCCGCATCCCTAGAGCGGGCGGGCCCCTTGGCGGCCCTCGTGGGCGGAGCCGGCAGCGGGGCGGGCAGAGCCCGCCGGAAGACGCGCGGGCGCGGGGCCGGGTGGCAGCGCGGCAGCGTGGGTGGGCCGCACCCGGGATCCCACAGGGGCTGGCGTGAGGGCGTCCCGCGGCGCTGGTCACCGCGGGGGCGCGTCGAGAGGCAGAGGCTCGGGGGGACGCCGGGCTGCGGCCGAAAACACAGAGCACTGGAGTGCACTTGACCGCTGCCGCCGCCCCGGCTTTGAAGCCGCAGGCGGCGAGGTGTATCCTCGCCCGGCTGTGCGGGAAGTGGGTTCAGGGCACCCCTCCCATTGCGGCCCTCAAAGCCGCGCTTCTGGGGGTGCAGCTGGGAAAGGCCACCTTGGAGGGTCGGTGGGTTGATGGGAAGCAGCGGCACCCGCCCTAGGCCGCCTCTCGTTGGGTATTTGGAGAAGACCCACTTCCAGTCCGGAGGCCGACGTGAACGTGGGGCGTTTTTCTGAAGAATGATTGTGTCGAGTGGGGATGTGGTCCGTCTATGAAAGGCTGGGCAAGAGCAAAATCTGTTACCACCCAATCTTCCTCTAAAGAGACACCCTCTGGAACTGAAAGCCTCAAGGGGGAGCGCTCTCATGTCCCCTCCTCTGGTCCTGCCAGCGTCCAAAGCCGATCTGGTGAGTAGGAGGCCACACCGCCTGTGTCTGCTGTCGCTAAGTCCGAGGGAGGCATGTCTGGGGGCTGTGAGGAGGGGCATCTTCGAAAGGAAGCTTCTCTGTTTCATAAGTTTCTCCACTTTGGTAACAAGACATTTACTTTTTATATATTCAAAGGCAGCATGTTTCCCACAGGCTCCAAATTCGTAGGATGCAGCTCCTTTCTCTCCATCAGTCACAGATGGAAAAAAAGAGATGCCCATAAACCACATACACTTCCTCACAAACTTCAAAAAGTTGGGTGGGCCTCCTTTCCACAGAGCTAGGGCTGTTCTTGGAGCCCCAGATGCACTGGATCCCCTTGCTGTGGAGCGACCTACCTGCTCAGATTGGATGAGCTAGCTGATGGCATTTGAGGTTTTTTTCCAAATTTGCTTGTTACACACAGTTATGCAGTAATCCTCATTATACTCGAAGTACCATATTTCCTCCATTTGAGGACATACCCCTCTCCCCCAAGTTTAACATTTTTAAAACCAGGATGCATCTTAACAGAGAGGTTAAAAGAACTTGCCAGTTGCTAGACAAACACGTGGGTGGTGATGTGTCTGTCACTGCTTGCCCACGTGAAAACTAGTTATGTGATTATTCCATCAGTAGAGATACTTGATATGAACTTTAAATTGAGATTCTAATTGTTTTAAAAAATAACTTAAAGAGATAATGCTATGATGCAACATTAAAGCAAGAGATTTATAATAATGTTTATTAAAGGGTTTACTGTATGCCCCACATTGTCTCAATTAATCAACATTACAGCCCTATGAATTATTATTATTATTATTCCTATTTTATAGATGAAGAAACAAGCTCAGATAGTTGAAGTGCCTTAGAGCTTTTAAGTGCATTTCAAAGCCTGATTTCAAAGCCTGTCTGTCCTCTTAACTTTCAAGTCTTATTCAGACTGAAGATGCATGCAACTTACAAGGAGGGAAGTCAAGGCAGGGTCTGTGTATGTTGGTATATCTTTGGTGTTTGTGTATCTTTGGCTGTTTGTGTTTGTGTTTATGGAATGGGGAGATGGAGCCACATCAAGAGCATTGATTATACTTTTTCCCACATAGATGCCAAGCTTTTTGTTTTTGGATGTTTTTAATATATTTTTTGCAAGTTCTGGAGTCCTGGCTGTGTAATGGGTGCTTCAAGATCCCTCATCTCCTGCCTTTTGCTCCTCTAGGAGAAGATGGAGGCATGCACTCAAACCTACTCAGCCGGCTGCCTCCCAAGGAGGCAGTACTTAATTTAAGAGAGGAGTCGTTTTTTCAGTGTTGTTAAATTCACATTGGTCTCTAGGAGCCCTGTTTCTGGTGCTGCAGGGACGTGCCACAGTCCTGAGGGCAGGAGATTGTGATCAGAGGAGGACCACACCACTGTGAAGCCTCTCAGTTGAAGTGCTGGCGGTTTCCTCACCAGAAGTGAACAACCCAGTTGGGCGGGCATCACCATGCTGCAGCGGCTCCTGATCACCCTGCCCGCCGAGGCCGGCACCTGGGTGAAGCTGCAGCATCCAAGGAAGGCCAAGGAGGGGGCGCCCCTGTGGGAGGACGTGACTAAGATGTTTGAAGGAGAAGGTGAGCACAGACTGATGGATGGGGGGTCAGAGGGAGATGAAGGAGGTCTCATGTGTGCATGTGTGTGTGTGAAGACGAGTACACACTTCATTGTTCTAGTCTCTTGGGGAGAAAATTGGGGGAAAGCTGGTCTTGGGTTCATGCTTTTATGGCTTTCAGGAAAAGGATAGCTGTGAGAGAAAATATTGTGTTCTCAGCACCGGCTCCTTGCTGCTCCACGCTGCTGCCATCTCCCATCCTCAAATATAACACGTGACAGGGAGACAGAACACGAGATGTTTCCCACCAGCTGCTCCCAAGTGTGTAAATGTGATTCATGGATAGCAAGGTCAAAAGTTTTGGCACCTTTAAGCCCGCCAGTGGTTTTCCTTCACAAGTTCAGTCATTTTAGCCAGAAACCAATATTTTCACAAGTTTCAGTTCTTTCTTTTCATCTTCTGCTGAGAGGAAGGACTGATATGCTTGATTATTCTCATTTTACTTGAAATATGTGGTTTCAGTGGGAAACATGTCCAGGATTACAAAATAAAAACGGTCTGGTCGGGATAGATAGATGGACAGAGGAATTCATGTGGTCTCTTAGTTCATACCTTAATCACTTCAAATTCAGCCAATTTTTATTGTATTCTAGATGTGTCAGGCAGGGACTCCGCTAAGCATCTTGACAGATGGTAAAATAAATAATGATCTTTAACGCTAATTATTAATTGACAGAGATAGACACATACCCAAATCAAAATAATAGAAGATAGCCTAGGAAAATGTTATGGTCAAGTTCTTTGGGGAGACAAGAGATAGAAAACATTCTTCCAATTGTGCTTCTCTGAGAAAGTTTTGCAAAGCAGATAGCACTGAATTGGACCTTGAAAGATGTATAAGTTTTTTTTTTATAGAAGATTTGGGGAAACAATACAAAAGTGGGTACCTTGAAGAGTGGTTCAGAGAGTGGAGACTACTGTAGTCTAACTGAGGGTTAAGAATGTGGTAGGTTTGGCCAGACGAATGGCTCAGTTGGTTAAGAGCATGAGCTCTAAGCAACAGGGTCACTGGTTCGAGTCCCACATGGGCCAGTGAGCTGCTCCAGAGCTGAGCTGCCGCTGAGTTGCCAACAGGTGGCAGGATGGCTCAGCTGGTGAGAGCGTGCGCTCTTAGCAACAAGGTTTCCGGCTTGACTCCCACATGGGATGGTGGGCTACGCCCCCTCGCAACTAAGATTGAGCATGGCACCTTGAGCTGAGCGGCTGTGAGCTGCTGATGGGCGGCCAGATGGCGACTGGACTTGGAGCTGAGCTAGCTGTACCCTCCACAACTAAGATTGAAGGACAACAACTTGGCTGTTCCCCTTCCCCAATTCCCCAATAAAATCTTAAAAAAAAAAAAATGTGGTAGGTTTATGTGTCCAACAGGTAAAGGATGGTGGTTAGAGGAAACTAATGCTGGGAAAATGTCTCAGGTGGATTGTAAAGTGCCTGGAAGTCCATGGGAAGTGTCTGGATTTTTCTTTGTTGTTGGGAACCTCAGAACCAATGAGTGGTCTGGTAGATCTGTGCTTTTGGATCACCATTGACCCTTGGAAATACTAATGCCCAAAGCAGTGCTCAGTAGCTCCCCATTAAGGAGGTTCCCGTCTGCTCTTGAGTGGCTTTGAATGTCCCTCTTTGTGAATGTACTGAGGGAGGAGCCACAGTCAACTGGTCTGCAGGTAGTTTTTTGATTTGGGGGATTTGGGGAGATGCAAACCTCATGGCTCGTTTCTTTCCCCAGCTCTGCTATCTCAGGATGCTGGTGAGACCCAGGGAGAACGTTTAAAGGATGAAGTGACCTCTGGGGCCATGACAGCAGAATCCCAGGTAGGTTGGAGTTTCCTTTCATTTTCTTGATATGCTTCTTGGCTTTTAAGGTTATAATTTGCCCTTTTTGGGGGAATGAGGTGAGTGTTGAGGCTAATGAATTCAACTGAAGGAACTCAGAGCAAGTTGCTCTTGTACAGAAAACTGGGCCAAGGTGGTAGCAGTTTACATGCTGATAACAGCTCCCTCCATGTAGCTCTGGTTTCTAACCAACACCTAGATCTAACATTGTGCTAATTTCTGTAGAGAAAGCAAAATGAATGATATCTATCTAGCCCCTAAAAAGCAACTGAGATACTACTTGGGATCTAAGGTAAGCCAGATTTTTTTTTTTTTTTAGTATTTCATATTCAAAAACCTTGCAAGTGAGAAGAAAGTGTTGACCTTCTTAGTGATATACACATATCACTTGTAAACTTCATGCATTGACCCTTAGTATAGTATTGAGAGCAGAGATCAAACTGCAGCCAAAAAAATAAGTAGAGAAGAAATGGTTAGGCTACATAGTGCACACATTAGGCTGGACAGATAGAACAGGGTGTCAGAAATGGGTGTCCTCACTACCCGGTGGAAGAATAGGTAAAAAAGAAGGCCAATTGTTGAGTAAGAGTTAAAGGAAGACTGTTCAAAAAGACAGTTTTTGAGGATAGAAGAGTTTTAAGTGAAAAGAACTCGAGTTCTGAAATTAGATGGTATAGGGTTTGAACTTATCTCTTGTATTTTACTTGCTTGGTGATCTGAGCAATTTTTTTTTTTTAAGTTATTTACAATCCATGTTTCCTCAGCTAATTCAGGTGCTAATACCTTCTAGGATTGAAGTGTATTCCCAAGTTATTTACAGAAATATGGAAGAAGTGCTAATAGTCTAATTATTTAAAGAGTTATTTTATTTCTGCATTCCACTTCTCTGGAATTCCTTACTTTCTGATATTTGTCAAAAACTGATGGGTTCTTAGCACTGGTAAAAAAATTTTTTTTTTATTGAGGTATAATTTAATATAGGAAAATACACTTAAAATACATAGTTCTATTTTGGCATATGTGTATACCATATATTCAAATCAAGATAAAGAACATTTCCACCATCACACAAAGTTCCATCATGCCCCTTTCCAATCAAAACTCTGCCTCATTCCCATTAGAGAGTACATGGGATCTCTATATTATTTCTTTTTTTTTTTTTTTTGAGCCATCCTGCCACCTGTTGGTAGTTCAGCAGCTGCTCAGCTCAGGGCGGGACTCGAACCACTGTTGCTCAGAGCTCAAACTCTTGAGCGAGCTCTTAACCAACTGAGCCACTCGGCCGGTCCCTCTATCTTATTTCTTATAACTACATGTAAGTAGATTTACATGTAAAATTATCTCAAAATAAAAAGTTTAAACAAGAATGTATATTCTGTAGTTGTTAGGTATAGCGTCATATAAATGTTGATTAAGTTAATGTCAGTTAGGTTAAGTTGGTTGATAGGTTGTTCAAAGCTATATCCTTGATGAATTTTTTTTTTAAAGATTTTATTGGGGGGCCGGCCGAATGGCGCATTGGTTAAGCACTGGCTTGGGACGCCAGAGGGCCCCAGTTCGGATCCCACATATGAGAGCCAGTGACACTGCCCCCTACAGCTAAGATGCTGAACAACAGCTCAACCTGGAGCTGGGCTGCTGTGAGTCGCTGGCAACAGCGTAGGCTGCAGCCCCTGCTGCAGTGGGTTGCCATGGGCTACTGAGTGTAGCCAGCAGCTGCTGTGAGCGGCTATCCAGAAGTTGGTGACTGACCTGCCTGGCCCGGGAAGAGCGCAATGATGGTGCCACCTTGGGCCAGTGAAGCAACGTTCTCCACGACTAGACTGAAGAACAAAAGGACAGCAACTTTTCTATTACCCTTCCCCAATTTCCCAGTGCTGTTCCCATCCCCCAATTCCCCAATAAAAATCTTAAAAAAAAAAAAAAGATTTTATTGGGGAATTGGGGGAGGGGAACAGTGTTGGGGAATTGGGGAAGGGGAACAGCCAAGTTGTTGTCCTTCAGTCTTAGTTGTGGAGGGTGCAGCAAGCTCAGCTCCAAGTCCAGTCTCCATCCAGCTGCCCATCGGCAGCTCCCAGCCACTCAACTCAAGGTGCCGTGTTTAATCTTAGTTGCGGGTGGGCATAGTCCACCATCCCATGTGGGAGTAGAACTGGTGACCTTGTTGTTAGGAGCATGTGCTCTCACCAGCTGAACTATCCTGCCACCTGTTGGCAGCTCAGCAGCAGCTCAGCTTGGATACAGCTCACTGGCTTATGTGGAAATCAAATTGGCAGCCTTGTTGCTCAGAGCTCACGCTCTTAACCAACTGAGCCACTCGGCCGGCCCCAAGTGTGACCTTAAATATAGCTGGGTCTTACTTTGTTAGCCCATTTATAGTTAACATAGTCATTGATATGGTGGGATTTAAGTGTACTGGTATATTCTTGTTCTCTGTCCATCTATTCTTTGTTCCTCTTCTGCCTTCTTTTGGGTTGAATAGTGTTTTGTTTTTTAAAGGTTTTTTTATTGGGGAACAATGTGTTTTTCCAGGACCCATCAGCTCTAAGTCAAGTAGTTGTTTCAATCTACTTGTGAAGGGCGTGGGGATTAAACTGGCAGCCTTGGTGTTATGAGCACTGTGCTCTAACCAACTGAGCTAACCAGCCACCCCTAGTTTTTAGTATTCCACTTTATGTCCCTAATGAGTTTTTAGCTATACTTTTTTTATTTGTTTTTAGTGGTTGCTCTAGCCATTATAATATGCATTTTTTAACTTATCACAATTGCTTTGAATTAATATTGTACTGTTTCACATATAATATGAAAGCTTTATGTTATATTTCCATTTACTCTCTCCTATTCTTTGTGTACTGTCATCATACATTTCACTTTACATGTTATAGACCTCACAATGCATTGTTCTTATTTTTGCTTTTAACAGTAAATTGTGATAGAAAAATTAAGAAAAGGAAAAGAGAATGAGTTATTCATGTGTGTCCACATATTTACCAATTCTGGCACTCTTAATTTCTTCCTTTAGTTCTGAGTTTCTATCTGGCATCATTTCCTTTCAACCTACAGAAGGTCATTTAGCATTTCTTGTAGTGTGGGTGTCCGGATGATAAATTCTCATAGCTTTTGTTGATCCTATTTGAGGATCTTTTACTGGGTACAGAATTCTAGGTTGATTGTTCTTTCTTTTAAGCACTGTAAAGATGTTCCATGATTTTTTTTAATTAGTTTTTTGTTTTCCTCAGGAGCTTGCTTATTTATTTATTTATTTATTTATTTATTTATTTATTTATTTTTAAGATTTTTTTTTAATTGGGAAATGGGGGGAGGGGAACAGAATGGGGGAAGGGGACCAGCCAAGTTGTTATTCTTCAATCTTCGTTGTGGAGGGTGCCAGTCGCCATCTGGCTTCCTGTTGGCAGCTCGTGGCCTCTAAGCTCAAGGTGCTGTGTTCAGTCTTAGTTGCCAGTGGGCATAGCCAGCATCCCATACGGGAGTTGAACCCGGCAGCCTTGTTGTTAAGAGCACACGCTCATATCCACTGAGCCATCCGGGCAGCAGCGCAGCTCAAGGTGCCGAGTTCAGTCTTAGTTGCGGGTGGGCATAGCCCACCATCGAACAGGCAATCTTGTTGTTACACCAGCTGAGCCATCCTACCACCTGTTGGCAGCTCAGCGACAGCTCAGCTCGGGCGCAGTGTCACTGGCTCATGTGGGAATTGAACTGGTGGCCCTGTTGCTCAGAGTTTGTGCTCTTAAGCCAACTCAATCAACTGAGCCACTCGGCCGGCCCCCCATGATCTTTTATCTTATATTGTTTGGGATGAGAAGTCAGCTGTTGTTCTTATCATTTGCCTATATGTTATGTGTCTTTCTGTCTTTTTTTTTTTTTTTTAATGCCAGCATTTCTTGTTTTTTTGTTCCTCCTTTCCCACTTTGTTTTTTGGCTACTTTTATGATCTTTCCTTTTAACTTTGCTCTTCAGCAGTTTTACTGTCATGTGCATGGACATGGTTTTCTTTGAATTTATTCTTTTGGGGGCTTGCTGAACCTCTTGGATCTGTGGGTTTATTTGGAAATTTTTCAGCCTTTATTTCTTCACATATTTTTTCCCCCATTCTTTCATCGCTTTCTGAGATTCTAAATACATATGTATTAAATCACTTGATATTATCCCGGATTTTTTTTCTCTTAGTGCTTCAGTTTTAATAATATCTATTGACCTGTCATAAGTTTTACTGATCTTGTCTTATCAGGGTCCAGTCTGCCATTAAGCCCATCTAATGAATTTTTCAGATATTGTATTTTTCAGTTGCAGAATTTTCATTTAGTTCTTTTTTTAGCATTTCTGTCTCTCCCCTGAATTACCCCCATGTTTTCACCTATTCTATCCATATTTTATTGTAAATTCTTTAACATATTTTAATAATTGCTTTAAACTTCTTGTCTGATGATAATTTCAGTGACTTGGTCACCCATGAGTTTGCATCTATTAATTTTTATTTTCTTAATTATAGGTCAGATTTTCCTCCTTATTCATATATATATAACAATGTTTTTTGCTGATGTATATAGTTTGTTTTGTTTTGTTCTGGTTTTTTTCTAAGAGACTGTAGCCCTTTCCTCTGATGGTTAAGGTTAGGGACTGATTACTTGTATTCCCCCTAGAGCTGCGGCTGAGCTCTGGCTGAGATACAGCTTTGATTGAGTTTACTTCTGATAAACTCAACTACCAATGCCCCACACTGCAACTGTGGAGGGCTGACCTTTTTTGTCTCTTCAGTATTTGAACTAGGAAGGGGTATAGACAATTTTTTGCATTAAACTCCAGCAGGGCCTCAGAATTTAAGCTCAGCAGGAATGCACTGGTCTTTGTGACAATAAGTACTAAAAGCTTCTCTTCTCCCCAGGCCTTTCTCACCCAACCTTTTTCTATTCCCCCCTTTACTAACCTGCCTCCAGGGATACTGTTCACGCTCCGGGATACTGTTCACGCTCCTGTTTTTCAAACAAGCCAAGGACACTCTCACCTTAGTTCCTTTATACCTGCCTGGAATTCTCTCCCCTTAGATTTCCATATGTCTCTTCCTCATTGGGTTCATATCTCTGGGCAAATAGCACCCTTTTAGACAGGCCTTCCCCAGCCACCCTACATAGAAGATCACCCCACCCTCCCAGTGGTTCTCCCTGTTCCCCTTATCCTGCTTAATTTTTTCTAAGGCATGTATGACCATCTGTCCTTCTATGTATTTAATTATTTATGGTAATCTCTGGAGAATCTCCAAACAGATCCAGAGGAGGTTCCCAGTAAAACTGGTTTAGAATCTCTCAGAACTTAGAATACTATCAGAACCAGAACTCCTTGGACCCTGAGGGAGGTAGTCTCTGGCTGAAAAGGAATATATTTGATATTCTAGGAACAGTTGACCTTCCAGGACATATATGTGGACTTCACCCAGGAGGAGTGGGGACAGCTGGCTCCTGCCCACCAGAACCTGTACCGGGAGGTGATGCTGGAGAACTATGGGAACTTGGTCTCAGTGGGTAAGGATGGGCTAAACATACATCCAGAAACCTGCCCTTTATGGGAGAGTCATTATTTCTAAATTATTAAATGTTGTGGCTTCCCTGGATCTTGGCCTTGGATTCTGTAGTAGAGATGTCTCATTTCTTTGAAAATCAAGCCAGGGCATATCTGATTCTCCTTCCTTAGGGGAACAACTTCACTTTGTAGAGCTAGAATACAAAGACATGCTGTGGTGCTTTTTCCATTTTCAGAGACTCTAAATACCACAGGACTGGAACCAAATTCCGGGGGTGCTTCTTAGATCTCAAAATAAACATTCATACTCTTTTTTTAATTTCATAAGCAGGGTATCAACTTTCCAAACCTAGGGTGATTTCCCAGTTGGAGAAAGGAGAAGACCCATGGATAACAGAGAAAGAAGAGCCAGGACGTCCCAGTTCAGGTGAGACCAAGGCAGATGGTGCCTTTCCACACACAGGCCAGAGGGCCCGACGTCTTCCTCGGCTGTGGGGAAGGCCGAGGCCACTGGACAGGGCCTGTGCTAAATCCGATTCCACCCCTCCCTCTGCCGCTCCTTTGCTCCACTTGACCTTGCAAAAGTCTCTCTGGAGTAAGAGGGAAGAGATGTCTTATCTTCATTAAGGTTAAACTTAATTCTCCCTCTTTCTTCCGTAGTCTAAAGTCTTACAACCAAAAGCTCCTTTCTCTATTCAGTTAGACATGTGGTCTCTCCTCACAGAAAATGGATCCCTTTGCAGGACTCTCACTGCATTCTGCAAATCCTAATTTTCTCTCTTGCATTCTATTTCCATTTTCACCAACTCTCATTTTATAATCCCAGCTTCGATTCTCACTTTTTAACTCACGTATCTTAATTTTAATAACAACTACTTTATGAAAACTTCTGCAAGAGAAATTATCATAGGATTCCTTCTCACCAAATTCCTTCCACAATCTCCTTAAACTTTGCTATATTATGAAATATTTGTGATGTTCAGAAAGGCATAGAGAACATTGTAACAAGTATCTATGTAACTTCCACCTAGATTAAGAAATAAAATAGAGTTGAAGCCTCATTGTTCCCTTCCTACGTTTTGAAAGAAGCAACTCTTCTGAGTTTAAATATGACCATTCCCATAGGTGTTTTGTAATTTTATTATATGTATATATCCCTCAACAATATATAGCATTGTTTTGCATATTTTTATTCTTTAAATAAACGGTATATAAACTTCTACTTGCTTTCCTCATTCAACACTGTTCCTATTTATCCATGTTCTAGTTCATTCATTTCTATTAAATGAATAAACCACAATTTATGCATTTTCCTGTTGGTAGACATTTATACTGTTTCTAAATTTGGGGTTACAAAGATGCTGCAGTAAATCTTCATGTATATATCTTCTTGTGTACATATACCAGTGTTTCTCTGAGATATTTGATAGAAGCAAAAGTGTTGGGCCATGAAGTGTGTGCTCCTTCGTTTTGCTAGGTATTACCCAATTGCTCTCGGTTGCACCCAGCAGGTTTTAAGAGTTTCCAGAACTCAGCATCTTTCTCAACATTTGGTATTGTCAAACTTAAAATATTTTGTAAATGGGTGACGGTAGTATCTTGTTTCTTTCATTTTCCTGATAACTAATGAGAGGGAGCATATTTTTCCTGTTTATTGACCATCCACCCAGGATTCCTCTTCTGTTAATTACTTATTTACATTCTTTGCCAATTGTTCTATTATTATATTTTTTCTTACTGATTTATAGAAAATATATATATTATCCTATATTTTAAAATTTTTGCTTTTCATGTTTAGGTTTGATTAAGATCAATTTACCTGGGATTTATTTTAATGTAGTGTGAGGTGAGTAGATAGTATTTTCCCCATAAATAATCAGTTTAGGAATATAATAATAGTTTATTATAGTTATTAATAATTATCTATTAATAGTTAATGGCACCCTGTCATCTGCCAAGTTTCTTGATATGCTTGGGTCTGTTTCTGGGCTTTCTATTCTGTTCCATTCTTCTGTTTTTCTATCCCAGGCTGTCTTAATTACTATATTTCATGTGAAACTGAATATCTGGTATCAGTAGTCCTCCTATGTTGTTCTTCAAATTTGTCCTGGCTATTCTTAGCCCCTTGTTTTTCCATACAAATTATATAATGAATGCATCAAATATATATAATGCATCAAAATTAAATAATGAGTGCACACACACACACACACACACACACACACACACCACTTACAAATCCTTTGGTAGTATTTTGACTGGAATAGAATTGAATTTATAGATCAATTTGGGGGGACTGATATTATGATATTGGGTCCTACTATCCAGGAACATGTTATAGTGCTCTGTTTATTGATATTTCCTAATTTTTTTCAATAAAGTTTCAGGATTTTCCCCATAAAGCTCTTATACATATTGCATCTCTTTCTTTAGATTCTCCTTGAAGATCCTGTATTTTATTGCTTTTGTAGATGGTATACTTAAAAAATTATGTTTTCTGCTTGTCGCTGGTATGAAATAATACAATTGGTTTTGTACATTGACCTTATAGCCAGCTACCTTGTTTCACTCTGTTATTAATTCCAGTAATTTGTATGTTCTCTTAGGTTTTCACTTTTTCAACTTAGAATAATGAAAATGATAATAAAAACCACAATAGTGTTCTTTCCCTGCCTCTGGATAAAATCTCAAAGAGGTCCCATAGATGGTCCATTCCCTTTAAGTAATAAAAACAGTTTGATTTTAGCAAAATGTTTATTTCAGTGCAATAAGAAACACTCACATCTTCATTCAAAGATCTTCTCTTCTCCCCTGGCTTGGGCCTACTGCACGCCTGGATACTGAATTGGGGAAGGGGACTTATGTGGCTTCTTCTGTGTCTCCCTGTCTTCTTCTCTTACTCCTCCACTATTTAGGAGCAGAATCAGGGGCCTGCAGAACATAGACTTTATTCTTGCTTCAATTCATTTAGAATTTGGAAGTACTAATGATCATTTTTTTTTTTTTTACCAAAAAATCCTACAAGAAGTTATACCTTTCAGGAATACAGAACTGTCAGTTGAAGTATTAGTCATGGGTACAACAACTTATCAAGTAAGAAAACCTGTTGTTATTTTAAAGGTTAAAGGATATTTTCATAGAACACAGCAATAGTAGCAACATAGTCTGGGTTTTAAATCTCCTTTGTATAAATAACACTTCCAGGGACTGATTAATAAGCACAGGACACAAAACAATGTATAAATATTAACACAAGTTTCAATAAAAGACAGCTTAATATTCTTGTGACTATTCTTAGTTCCATCCTTATTTTTTGAGCTAGTGTCTCGGGCTACTACTGGAGTGGGGAGAGGGACATCTTTTTATCTTTCTGAGATGATTTTCCAAAGATGTATTATTTTCCAAAAAGATGTATTAAGATATACATCAGAAATGTCATTATTCAGTATTTTAGAAAGAGCAGGACTAAATTGCTCAAACTTACTCTCTCTATAAAATCACACTTTTACTCTGTTTACTGTTTCTTAACTTACTTTAAATTAAGGCTGCTGATTCATATTTAAATATAATAAAGATCTCGTGTACTTTATATGTATTGTTATCCAAATCTTTTATTTCATACCCACTATAATAATTGATTTTTAAAAGCTTGAAGAATATGAGTTATTTGTTTTTTTTCCATTTTTTTCAGACTTGAAGAGTAAAACAGAAATCAATATAGCAACTGCAAAGAATGCCATTTTACAGGAAGAGTTATATCATGGCATTATGATGGAAAGGTTCATGAGGGATGATGTCATTTATTCCAGATTGAGAAAAGTCTCCAAGTATGATGATGAGTTAGAAAGGCATCAGGATATCCATGGAAGAGATGTAAGACAAGCCATTTTGACTCAGAAGAAGAGAGGCCAAGAAAGTAAAAACCTTGGGGAAAATATTGTGAGTGCAAATGTTACTATAGAACAGAGGCACCGTAAATATGACACACTTAGAAAGAGGAACAAATGCAAATTAGATTTGATGGATGATCCAATGAGTTACATAAGAACAAAAACCTATGAATGTAACATATGTGAAAAAATCTTCAAACAACCCATTCATCTTACTGAACACATGAGAATTCATACTGGTGAGAAACCTTTCAGATGTAAGGAATGTGGAAGGGCCTTTAGTCAAAGTGCATCCCTTAACACCCACCAGAGAATCCATACTGGTGAGAAACCCTTTGAATGTGAAGAATGTGGCAAAGCCTTCAGACATCGCTCATCTCTTAATCAGCATCACAGAACTCACACTGGGGAGAAACCCTATGTATGTGATAAATGTCAGAAAGCTTTCAGCCAGAACATTAGCTTGATCCAACATTTGAGAACTCATTCTGGAGAGAAGCCCTTTACATGCAATGAATGTGGGAAAACCTTTCGACAGATTAGACACCTTAGTGAACATGTAAGAATTCATACTGGGGAGAAGCCCTATGCTTGCAGTGCATGTTGTAAAACCTTTAGTCACAGAGCTTATCTAACACATCACCAGAGAATCCATACTGGGGAGAGACCCTACAAATGTAAGGAATGTGGGAAAGCCTTTAGGCAGAGGATACACCTTAGCAACCATAAAACTGTTCATACAGGAGTGAAAGCATATGAATGCAACCGCTGTGGAAAAGCCTATAGGCATGATTCATCCTTTAAGAAACATCAGAGGCATCACACTGGAGAAAAACCTTATGAATGTAATGAATGTGGGAAAGCCTTCAGCTATAATTCATCGCTTACTCGACATCATGAAATACACAGGAGGAATGCCTTCCTAAATAATGTGTAAAAACTGATTATCCAACATGAGAACAAAAGCCAAATCTAAATCAGTGATTCTATACTTTTAAGTTTTAGGACTCTTGAGTTATTGATATAATGATGCCAACTTTTAATTTTGCCCATTGTGTAAATAAACACTACGTCGATAATTACAATCCACTAATACCTCCATACAAAGTACTTAAGAATAAAGGATGATCCTTCATATTAAATTCAGCAATATGGAAAATTAACACATTATTTTTCTGATTTCATGATGAATTAATAAATTATTTTTCATGGGCATTCATTGAGTAACAGCATTTGGGAACTACTGTTTAAAATGTCACCACCCCCATTTTTTAAATTAAAATTTTATTTTTTTAATGGGGAAAACTTTTATTGGTACAAAGTTCCAAAGGCACAGAGAATTGTATAAGGAAAAGTCTCCTTCCTCCATCCCCCACCACCAAATTATACCTAGAGGCAACCATTTTTTTTTTTAATATTTTTATTGGGGAATTGGGAATAGGAACAGTGCTGGGGAATTGGGGGAAGGGGAACAGACAAGTTGCTGTCGTTTTGTTCTTCAATCTAGTTGTGGAGGATGTTGCTTCACTGGCCCAAGTTG